TAAAAGACATTGCTATTTAAAAGACTTGCTATTTAAAAGACATTGTCAACATACAGAAAGTCCTACCACTGGGCCCCAAGTAGTTCAAGGGGGCAGCAAACCCTCTTGCCATCTCCCAACCAGCAATTGTTCCCATCTTGCTAATGAGCTGTTCTCAAGCCAGCTAAGACAGGGCTGTTTTCCAGGTTCTATCTGTGAAAGTTGAAAACTAGCACACATAAAGTTCCAAAATGTGAGCAGCCATTCCCAGTCCAGAAGCTGCAGGTGAGTGAATCAGGTCCCCCCCCCCCCCCCGCCCTTCTTTGGTTTTTGAAGATAATGTATGTGTAAGGATGTAAAGGTAAGTCTTTGGAAGGACAGTAAGGGAGTCCGGAGAGAAGGAAAGTGGATGGCAGGTGTGTGGACTCCTGGTTCTAACGTCTTCTCCATAAGTTCATGCTGTTTTCACCCATTCCTCCATCTCCACAGAAAGTTGAGGGAACATTACTGGTCAACAACAGTCTATGAGCAGGGCCCAGGACCAACAAGTTGGAAATTCAGCCTTCAACTCTCTGTCTCCAATCATTGTGCTATGGGTGCAGCCTTGTTCACAGGACTGATGTGTGGTTCTAGAAATGTGTGTGTCCTTTATCTGAAATGCTGAGAACCAAAAATGGCTTCTGATTTTAGAATATTTATTTATGCATAATGTCTCAGGGATGAAACTGGAGTCTGAAGAAGAAATACAGTTATCTCATATATACCTTATACTCATAGCAGAGTATAAATCTGGACAAAACTTGGATAATCTTATGCTTGAAACCAAGCTTCAGGCATTCAACTTCCACTTAGGGTGCTGTGCTGACTGGTGAAGTATTCAATTGTGGAACATTTGTGATTCCAGATTCTCGTAGTAGGGACATTTGGTCTTGAAGAGCCTGAATATTAGCCTTACCATTACTCAGCGGGCTCATCCCAATAACAATGACATCATTCATCTTGGAAACTTTCCTTCTCATCTGCTTCTTGCACATGATAGAAGAGCCCTGGGAACAAACCCCACCCTCCAGGATGGTTTGCCCAAATCAGGACTAACTCTCTAAGAAATTCCCAGTCCTAAAAACACTGGGATCATTTCTCAAGCCTAAGATGAAATTTAGCACAAGAATGCCTATGGTCGGCCACGCACGGAATTAAATACATCTAAAGGCAGAAAGGTCTGAAATTGCGGTCACAGGGAGCCTTTCTTATTTTCAGTCACAGACTAGATTTTGGCTTCTGTAGAAAGGCATTATGATAATTTTTGACAAATGATTCCAACTCTACAAAGCTCTGAGGTAAGTCTAATAAAGTCCCAAAAGTCCAACCACAAAACTGAGCAAACAAGTAAGTTTATTGCCCAAGAGAGCGCGTACAGTGTACAGAGGTGTGGTAGCCCAGGTTTGCATCATGACCAGGTCCTCCTGCAGAAATCCCTGCCTTCCACAAACTTGAAAACATTCCGGTCCGTTTGGAAATTTTGATTTTATGAGCATTCATAAAAATGTAAGCCCTGGAAGTGGAGCTGTGTTAGAGTGCTAACCTTGTGCAAAACTGCTCAGGGAGAGAGTAGCACATGGGCCCTGAGTTCAAGCTTCAGGGCTGACACACACACACACACACACACACACACACACACACCACCACCACCACCACCACCACCACCACCACCACCACCACCACCACCACCACCAGCAGCAGCAGCAGCAGCAACAGCAACAAAGCATAAGTCCTTGCAATCTATGGCAGTTGCTAAATAAACACCTTTGTTATTTACCCATTTAAGGTGTATAACTCAATGGTTTCAATGTGCTTGCAAAACTGTATAATTTATCCTTCCATCACCCTGCAAAGAACCCCTGAGTGGTGGTTATCATTCAGTCCTACCTCGGTATCTTCAGCCCAGGCAGACAACAGCCATCTCTGCAAGTGTCACATAAACAGAATCACCCAGTATGCACGCTCCAGTTTTTGGCATGATCATTTGTAGATTACTACTACTACTGGGTTAATCCCATCTGCCTATAAACAGGGTGTATCATTCTATTCATTTAAGTCTAAATAAATGGTTTTTGGCTTAGGTCATTCAAGTTGTATACTTTTCCCTCAGTTTTAGGGACGGAACCCAGAATCTTGAGCATGCAAACTCTACAACTGAGCTGTGAAACCAAGACAATGTATTAAAATACTTCAAATACTTATTCAATAGTAATTAAGATATTATTTTAATATAAAGATGTATACTAAGTTATATGATAACTTATAAAATCCATTATTCCATAGATAATGTATATATAACCTAACATAATTATATACATAAAAAATTTATGTATATAATATATATATTATGTATTACACAGTCTATATATTATAAATTATATTGCAATTTTATATAACAATTTATAATTTATATAATCATATTGTTTTAATGTAAAGATTATTTATATAAATATGAACATTTTAACATAAGCATATTGTTTTAATAAGTTTAATATGAATATTAGCATATTTATGTTAAATAGTTATCTACATATGTATTTAGGGATATTTATATTTGTCTTCTTTTGCTTTTTGAATACGCATTGCTGATGTACAGAAATGGGACAGCTTTTCTATATCGACCTTGTATTTCAACCCTTGTTCCACCCATGGCTAGCCAGTCCTTCTTTTGGTTCCTTTATTTGCTTTCGCCCACGGGTTTCTACAGGCAAGGTCTTGTCACCTGCGAACAGAAATGGTTACCCTGCCTGCCGGCCTCCTCTCCTGCCTGGCCGCCCTGGCCGGCCGCCTGGCCGGGTGGGGAGGCGGGGGCTTGGGCCCCCGGCCCCGGGCTGGGTTGGAGCCGTCACTGTTGGGGTTCTCGGGGACATGGTCTCCGCCATGGAGGACCCCGTGTCCTGGGCGGCTGGGAGCGGCCTCTTTGCTTACGTCGGGGAAGGACCGCCATCCTCCTCAGTACCTGGTGATGTCTGATCACCCATCAATAATCAATACTTCAGTGCATCAATTCAGTGCGCCCCGCACGTCCGATCACCACCAATAATCAATGCATCATCAAAGCATCAATGCTGGGCGCCTCGGTGTGGGAGAAGCTGCTGGGAAATGCCCTAATTCACCCCCAGGACAAGGGCGCTCCTCCCGGCCCTCCCACCCACCGCCTGGCGTGGGGGCTGCGAGCGGCCGCACCGGGAGGGGAGGGGGGAGGGTCAGGTCGGGTGGGGATTGTCCGGTGGGGAGGGTCGGGTGGGGCGGGCCCGTGTCTGGCGGGGGAGGGTCGGGTGGGGCCGGCCCGGTCTGGGTCCGGCGGGGGAGGGTCGGGTGGGGCGGGCCCGTGTCTGGCGGGGGAGGGTCGGGTGGGGCGGGCCCGTGTCTGGCGGGGGAGGGTCGGGTGGGGCGGGCCCGTGTCTGGCGGGGGAGGGTCGGGTGGGGAGGGCCCGTGTCTGGCGGGGGAGGGTCGGTGGGGAGGGTCGGGTGGGGCGGGCCCGTGTCTGGCGGGGGGAGGGTCGGGTGGGGCGGGCCCGTGTCTGGCGGGGGAGGGTCGGGTGGGGAGGGTCGGGTGGGGCGGGCCCGTGTCTGGCGGGGGAGGGTCGGGTGGGGAGGGTCGGGGGGGGGGCGGGCCCGTGTCTGGCGGGGGAGGGTCAGGTGGGGAGGGTCCGTGTCTGGCGGGGGAGGGTCGGGTGGGGAGGGTCGGGGGGGGGCGGGCCCGTGTCTGGCGGGGGAGGGTCAGGTGGGGAGGGTCCGTGTCTGGCGGGGGAGGGTCGGGTGGGGAGGGTCGGGTGGGGCGGGCCCGTGTCTGGCGGGGGAGGGTCGGGTGGGGCGGGCCCGTGTCTGGCGGGGGAGGGTCGGGTGGGGCGGGCCTGGGTCCGGGTCCGGGGGGAGGGTCGGGGGGGAGGGTCGGGTGGGGCGGGCCGTCCCCGGGTCGGGTCGGCGGGGGGAGGCCCGGGCGCGGCCCGCGCAGGCTCCTCCGGGAGCGGCCACGCCCCCGCTATAAACGCGCTCGGGTCCGGGCTCGGGCGGCGCAGGGCGGGACGGGCTCGGGGCGCGCGGAGCGCAGCGCAGCCGGTGGACGCGGACGCCGACGGTGAGGACGGGGACGGGGGTACGGGGGGACGGGGACGGGGACGGGGACGGGAGAAGGGGACGGGAGAAGGGGACGGGGACGGGGACGGGGACGGGGGTACGGGAGAAGGGGACGGGGACGGGGACGGGAGAAGGGGACGGGAGGACGGGAGGACGCGGGGACGGGGACGGGGACGGGGGGACGGACACGGGAGGACGGGAGGACGCGGGGACGGGGACGGGGGGACGGACACGGGAGGACGGGGGGACGCGGGGACGGGGACGGGGGGACGGACACGGGAGGACGGGAGGACGCGGGGACGGGGACGGGGGGACGGACACGGGAGGACGGGAGGACGCGGGGACGGGGACGGGGGGACGGACACGGGGGGACGGGAGGGCGCGGGGACGGGGACCGGGGAACGGACACGGGGGGACGGGAGGGCGCGGGGACGGGGACGGGGGGACGGACACGGGGGGACGGGAGGGCGCGGCGGCGGCTGGGATCCGGGCGCGGGGCCGCGGGCGCGGGCGCCGGGTCCGGCGGACGTCTCAGGGCCGCGCCGGGTCCGGGCCGGCCGGGCTGCCCGGGCTGGGCCGGCTCCGCCGGGCGCGCGCCGGGCCGAGCCGATGGCGACCCCGCGCACCCCGCGCCGTCGCGGCGGCGTCCGGGCCGGAGCCGGGCGGCCGCCCGGGGAGCCGGGGCCCGGGGCGGCCAGCGCGCGCCCCCCGGAGCTGGTGCGGGGCCAGCGCCCCCGGCCCTCGGCCCGCCCCGCGCCCTCCGGAACCGGGAGCAGGAAGGGCCGGGCCCGGCCCCGGGGGGAACTGGTCTGGGTCTCGGTCTCAGCCTTCAGACCCCAACGTCTAACGCAGCCGCCCGCGTCCAGCCCGTGGACGCCCAGCCCAGCCCCTCTGCCACCCCGTTACGGCGGGGCCGGGTGCGGGTCTGCACGGTGCCGAGGACCCCGGGGTGCGGGTCTGCACGGTACCGGGGACCCCGGGGTGCGGGTCTGCACGGTACTGGGGTGAGGACCCCGGGGTGCGGGTCTGCACGGTACCGGGGACCCCGGGGTGCGGGTCTGCACGGTGCCGAGGACCCCGGGGTGCGGGTCTGCACGGTGCCGAGGACCCCGGGGTGCGGGTCTGCACGGTACTGGGGTGAGGACCCCGGGGTGGGGGTCTGCACGGTACTGGGGTGAGGACCCCGGGGTGCGGGTCTGCACGGTACTGGGGTGAGGACCCCGGGGTGCGGGTCTGCACGGTACTGGGGTGAGGACCCCGGGGTGCGGGTCTGCACAGTACCGAAGACCCCGGGTGCGGGTCTGCACGGTGCCAAGGACCCCGGGGTGCGGGTCTGCACGGTACCGAAGACCCCGGGTGCGGGTCTGCACGGTGCCGAGGACCCCGGGGTGCGGGTCTGCACGGTACCGGGGACCCCGGGGTGCGGGTCTGCACGGTACCGGGGACCCCGGGGTGCGGGTCTGCACGGTACTGGGGTGAGGACCCCGGGGTGTGGGTCTGCACAGTACCGGGGAACCCCGGGGTGCTGGTCTGCATGGGTACTGGGGTGTGGACCCCGGGGTGTGGGTCTGCACGGTACTGAAGACCCCGGGGTGTGCGTCTGCATGGTACTGAGGACCCCGGGGTTGCTGGTCTGCACGGTACTGAGGACCCTGGGGTGCGGGTCTGCATGGTACTGAGGACCCCGGGGTGCTGGTCTGCACGGTACTGGGGTGTGGGCCTGGGGTGCTGGTCTGCACGGTACTAGGGTGTGGACCCCGGGGTGTGGGTCTGCACGGTACTGAAGACCCCGGGGTGTGCGTCTGCATGGTACTGAGGACCCCGGGGTGCTGGTCTGCATGGGTACTGGGGTGTGGGCCGGGGTGCTGGTCTGCATGGGTACTGGGGTGTGGGCCGGGGTGCTGGTCTGCATGGGTACAGGGGTGTGGGCCGGGGTGCTGGTCTGCATGGGTACTGGGGTGTGGGCCTGGCTGCTGGTCTACATGGTACTGGGGTGTGGGCCAGGGTGCTGGTCTGCATGGTACCGAGGACCCCCGGGTGCTGGTCTGCATGGTACTGGGGTGTGGACCCCGGGCTGCTGGTCTGCATGGTACTGAGGACCCTGGGGTGCTGGTCTGCATGGTACTGAGGACCCTGGGGTGCTGGTCTGCATGGTACTGGGGTGTGGGCCCGGGGTGCTGGTCTGCATGGGTACTGGGGTGTGGGCCGGGGTGCTGGTCTGCATGGCACTGAGGACCCTGGGGTGCTGGTCTGCACAGTACTGTGGACCCCGGGGTGCTGGTCTGCATGGGTACTGGGGTGTGGGCCGGGGTGCTGGTCTGCATGGGTACTGGGATGTGGGCCGGGGTGCTGGTCTGCATGGGTACTGGGGTGTGGGCCCGGGGTGCTGGTCTGCATGGCACTGAGGACCCTGGGGTGCTGGTCTGCACGGTACTGGGGTGTGGGCCAGGCTGCTGGTCTGCACGGTACTGGGGGGTGGGCCCGGGGTGCTGGTCTGCACGGTACTGAGGACCCCGGGGTGCTGGTCTGCACGGTACTGAGGACCCCGGGGTGCTGGTGGCAGGTGGCAGGCACGGGTGGTAGGTGGCAGGTGTGCCCTTCACTTCAGTGCCACATCCCATGTGCTCTGCACTGCAACTCGCAGCAATGAACCGCCCTTCCATTGGGGTGTGCTCCACAAGCTCCTCACTCACTGCACAGCTCCACGAGCTCCTCACGAGCTCCTCACTGACTGCACAGCTCCACCAGCTCCTCACTCACTGCACAGCTCCACAAGCTCCTCACTCACTGCACAGCTCCACCAGCTCCTCACTGCACAGCTCCACGAGCTCCTCACTCACTGCACAGCTCCACCAGCTCCTCACTCACTGCACAGCTCCACCAGCTCCTCACTCACTGCACAGCTCCACCAGCTCCTCACTCACTGCACAGCTCCACAAGCTCCTCACTGACTGCACAGCTCCACCAGCTCCTCACTGCACAGCTCCACCAGCTCCTCACTGACTGCACAGCTCCACCAGCTCCTCACTCACTGCACAGCTCCACCAGCTCCTCACTGCACAGCTCCACCAGCTCCTCACTCACTGCACAGCTCCACCAGCTCCTCACTGCACAGCTCCACCAGCTCCTCACTCACTGCACAGCTCCACCAGCTCCTCACTGACTGCACAGCTCCACCAGCTCCTCACTCACTGCACAGCTCCACCAGCTCCTCACTCACTGCACAGCTCCACCAGCTCCTCACTGCACAGCTCCACCAGCTCCTCACTCACTGCACAGCTCCTCCAGCTCCTCACTGACTGCACAGCTCCACCAGCTCCTCACTCACTGCACAGCTCCACCAGCTCCTCACTCACTGCACAGCTCCACCAGCTCCTCACTGCACAGCTCCACGAGCTCCTCACTCACTGCACAGCTCCACCAGCTCCTCACTCACTGCACAGCTCCACCAGCTCCTCACTCACTGCACAGCTCCTCCAGCTCCTCACTCACTGCACAGCTCCACCAGCTCCTCACTCACTGCACAGCTCCACCAGCTCCTCACTGCACAGCTCCACCAGCTCCTCACTCACTGCACAGCTCCACCAGCTCCTCACTCACTGCACAGCTCCACCAGCTCCTCACTCACTGCACAGCTCCACCAGCTCCTCACTGACTGCACAGCTCCACCAGCTCCTCACTGCACAGCTCCACGAGCTCCTCACTGCACAGCTCCACCAGCTCCTCACTGACTGCACAGCTCCACCAGCTCCTCACTCACTGCACAGCTCCACCAGCTCCTCACTCACTGCACAGCTCCACCAGCTCCTCACTGACTGCACAGCTCCACCAGCTCCTCACTGCACAGCTCCACCAGCTCCTCACTCACTGCACAGCTCCACCAGCTCCTCACTCACTGCACAGCTCCACCAGCTCCTCACTGCACAGCTCCTCCAGCTCCTCACTCACTGCACAGCTCCACCAGCTCCTCACTCACTGCACAGCTCCACCAGCTCCTCACTCACTGCACAGCTCCACCAGCTCCTCACTCACTGCACAGCTCCACCAGCTCCTCACTGCACAGCTCCACCAGCTCCTCACTGCACAGCTCCACCAGCTCCTCACTCACTGCACAGCTCCACCAGCTCCTCACTCACTGCACAGCTCCACCAGCTCCTCACTCACTGCACAGCTCCACCAGCTCCTCACTCACTGCACAGCTCCACCAGCTCCTCACTGACTACACAGCTCCACCAGCTCCTCACTCACTGCACGGGTCAGCTCCACGAGTTTCTCACCGACTTTACACAGGACAGCTCTGCGTGGCTTCTGACTGACTTTGCACGCTTCCAGGGGCCTTGATCACCATGTTATTTAGAGCCCTCAGGTTAAGGCTCTGAACAATAAACAACAGAGGCAGGGCACGGGAAAGTAAACCCCTGTGGCTTTGTGAGGATGTTGGGTTGCTGGACTGTCTGGACATGTTCTTGTCCGATTCCAACGGCCATCCTGCCATCGGCCTGGGGTAGGGAAGGCCTCTTCCCTGTGGAACGCATGGATACCAGCAGAGCCTTGCAGGGGGTTTTCCAGGGCTCACACATCAGAGGGTCAAAGTGGCCTTTGCCCTGTCCCCTGGTCGGTCAGGCTAGGCACATATTTAGAAAGGGAATGGGGCCGGAAGATGCCCACCCCTGTCTCTCCTCTGTCCTGCCCCTGTCCTGCTTGTGTCCCGCCCCTGTCCCACCCGCCCCTCCTCTGTCCCTCCTCTGTCCTGCCCGTCGGGGCCAGGCAGGACTTCTACCCTGAGAGGCATGTGTTTGTTTCCAGCCCCTTCCGTAATGACCACTGCTCCTCTCCCTCAAGCCGCAGTTCCTTCCACAGTGAGGCCTCATCCTACACGTCGGGGCATTTGATTAGCAGACTCAACAGTGGTTTTCTTCTTTCTTGATTGGCTGATTCACTGGTTAGTTATTTCCAGTTACAGCTATGAGAAATGTTTAATATGTTTTCAGATCCAGACATTTAAGAGGAGAAATGCTGTTGACTATATCTCCAATCTCAGCTGGGTAGTGTGTGTGTGTGTGTGTGTGTGTGTGTGTGTGTGTGTGTGTGTGTGTGTTCACACACACAGGTGCTAGTCCAGGGGCATGAACTCACAGCCTGGGAGCTGTCCCTCAGTTTCTTTTTTGTTCAAGGCTAGTGCTCTACCACTTGATCCTTTGCTGGTTAACTGGAGATAAGACTCTCATAAACTTTCCTGCCTGGGCTGGCTTGGAGCCATGATCCCGAGGCCTCAATTTCCTGAGTAGCTAGGATTACAGATGTGAGATACTGGTACCCGGCTCACCTAGGTATTTTTATCCTGTTAACACAATAAAGAGACATGACATTAATGCTTCAGTCTTCCTAATTATTGAATTAGCCATCAACCCTATCTTGTAATCTGAAGCAATAATGACATGGAACAGGTAAAGAGCAATAAGAAAAAAAAATCGATTGATGGATCAACTTTGGACATATCAAAACACTGGGTTATAGTAGTGCTGAAGGGAAAGTCAGGCGGGAATATTAGGACTGCCTTGGGAGCAGAGTAACTTGGCGCGGCTTCGACCCTAGCCCTTGCTTTATCCCTCCATCCACAGGAGCAGGGGCCCTGTCAGCAGACCGTGCCTCACCCAGACGCACTGAGTAAAATATGTCTTAACAAAAGCCCCAGGTAATTCAAAGAGAACCTATAGCTCAGTTTCTTGGCCTTTAAATAAAGTAACAAAGTTACTATTCATTGATAACATGTCATGTGCCAAACACTGTGTCCGTCCTCCAGATGCAGGCTTTATTTAATCTGCACAACAATCCTCCAAAACATTCACTGCTTTTCCCTTACTCTATCAGTTGTGATAGGAAGAAACTGCGAGATTAAGGGGCTTGCCCAAATGTGGTGGTGTACACAGGAGAAGTGTGTGCTCCTAAATGCTGCCCACAGCAGCTGCTCCACAACCGGCCACCTACTTTGTAAGGCAACTGAATCATATGAGAATTTATTTAAACTGATAATGTGAAATCAAATCCTATCCTCCTTGTATTAAAAAAAAAACTTGTATTAAAAAAACCATTGTTATAAAACATTTGGTTTATAACATTTGTGCAATATTACAGAGTTCTAGAAATTTCTGTTTCAGTTGGAAAACAAATACTAAACGTATGGCAGTGGACCCAACCTCCTGAAGTATACTCTCACTATGTGTGAGGATGCTGGTATCTCAGCTTCTCCTCGGTCCAGCTTGGGTTTAGAAGGAAGATTTGTTTGTTTAGCTGGCATTCTGCTACATTACTCTGCCTCCAGCCCTGCTTTTTGCTGGTGATTTTAGAGATGGAATCTCACAGACTCTTCTGCCCAGAACAGCCATGTGGCTTGAGTGTCCAGGGCTCAGCCACTTGAGCAGCCAAGACTGCAGATATGAGCCACTGTGCTAGGCTAGAATAATATGCTTCTAAAACTTAACTTGTGCTCTATTTTCTCGTAACTTATCTAAGATTTACTATTTACCTCTTGGGTAAACAAAGGGTGCTTCTGCTGGTATACAGTTGTCTCTCTCCAGTCACATAGAGTTAAACGCAAGTCAAATCAGGGTATTGGTTTTTCCACATCTAATGTAAATGCCTACCTACCACAAACACAGTTCACAAAGCCACAGCTGAATGTCTGTCCTGAACAGTCCCCGAGGAACTGGTGATCTGTTTTCAAACCAGTGACCCCCCAGTGAGTCAGTTCCAGAAACATTTCTCCCGGGGCATGAGGTTTTGTGACAGTGCTCAGGTCAGAGTGATCTGCCGGAGGTTCTTGTGCTGACAGAGCAAGCGCACTGCCGCTGGGCAAGTGACAGGAGGCTGAGTGGGGGCTCCCTGAGATCATGTAGGAGAGAGGTGTGCCATCAGCACTGGGCAGCCTGGGTGTTTCTTCCTGATGAACTTCACCACACACCAGGAATGCGAGTGAGTACTTGCAGTGAGAGAGGAGGGCAGGGTCAGCCCTGATCTCCTACCCCTCCACACCGGGAGGCTGGGCCCAGAGCACCGGCGGGCCTTGTACTCCGTCCTACCAGGCAGACAGATGTGCTCAGCCTCGCCAGGATGGGGGGGTCAGCAGGCCTCCCCTTCCCTTGGGCCACATGCGGTCCACTGGTGTTCCTGAGCACAAGGACACATGGACGTTGGTAAATACAATCGGAATCGGCATTCTATCCTGGTAGAAAACCCTTGTGGAATTTCTTCTAGTGAATGTCCCGTGCTTACAAAGTTCCCCTTGTGACCTGCATTCTTGTTACCCAATTCAAATATTTTTCCCGTTCTAAGCCTCAACAGTCTGACTTAGCATAGGGGCGCCCCATTCACCCAGACAGGGCCACCTGGTGCCTTTTCCAGCCCTATGCTGTTTTATACAGAACACATTGCGCCATGTCCTCTTCCCAGCCCTCAGACTTCCCTCGGCCACGGCTGCCACCTCATCAGGAATGGGGGAGGATGGGATGTGATCATACTCATGATTTCTTGACTCTGTCCTGACCTCTGATCTAGGAAGATAAGAGGAGGGCCAACTGGACTGAGCAGCCCCAGGGCCATCATCACAGTTCATTGTTATTTGGGGCCACATGGGGGCTTTGAACATAGAACCTCCTGCTTGCTA